CTACCATTTGTGAGTTTATTCAGCCGTCACAGTCAGGTGTGGGAACACAGATGGCGACACACATGACTGGGACACAGCCATCCAGTCCCTCAGCTCACATCAGGATACTGGCATCTTTGCTGTGGACAGCCTTGTAGGAGGATGTGCATGCTGGCTTCCCAGGGCCGTTGGAGTGCATTGGAGGGGCTGGGGAAGGGAGGGACCATGGTTTTATTCACATGTTTGTTTGTATATAGAAACTGTGACATAGGTTTATTGTAGTGAATTAAAAAAATACAAAGCAACTAAAGATTACCCATGATCCTATGACTCAGAGACAGCCAGTCTTAGATAGGTATGAGTTTTTTTTAATTCATCTATTTATTTTACATCCCGGCTGCAGCCTCTCCCCCTCCTCCCCTCCCAGGCCCCCTCCCTCCCTTCCCCCTTCCCCCATCGCCTCCTCTTCTGTCTCCATCCAGGAAAGGGCAGGTCTCCTATGAGTATCAATAAAACATGGCATAACAAGTTGCAGTAAGACTAAGCACCTCCCTGTGTATTAAAACTGGTCAAGGCAACTCAGTAAAAGAGTCGGAGACAGCCCCTGTTCCCGCTGTTAAGAATCCCATAAGAGGACCAAGCTATACAACTCTAACATATATGCAGAGTGCCTAGGTCAGTCTCATGCAGGTCCTCTCCTTTTCTTAAAAAATTACTTTTATGTATGTGAGTGTTTTGCTTGTATGCATATATGTGTACCACACATGTGTTTGGTGCCTACAGAAGCCAGATGTGGGCATCAGATCCCCTGGAACTGGAGTTGCAGACATTGAAAGCTACTGTGTAAGTGCTGGGTATTGAACCCAGGCCCTCTGGAAGAGCAGCCAGTGCTCTTAACTGCTGAGCCACCTCTCCAGTGCCCACCTCCTTTTCCTCCTCCTCCTCCTCCTCTTCTCCTCTTTCTTCTTGTGAATATTTTTGTGAGATTGGAGCCGCATTGTACCTTCTACTTGATTCGGCTTTTTCTACATAGCCTTTCCACATTTGTTCATTATTATTCTAAAGTGATGTCTTGGTGTACACGTGTAGGTTCCATGCCCCATCCTGCTGAGTGCCTCCTGGGTGCCAGGTCTTAGTCATTGAATAGGGAGGGGCACTGATGACAGCTAACGCTACTGTGTACTTGTGGAATGCCAGGCATGGTGTCAGATAGCCAGCATGGACTATCTCATTCTTGCACAGCTCTGGGAGAGGCGTGCAAGGGCCACACAGCTAGGCAGAAGCAGAATGGGGTTCAGTGAGTGGGAGAGATACCCAGCACTGGTTGGGTGTTGGCCTGAAGCCAGGATCTGGCCAAGCATTTGACTTCTATCAACAAGTTGATTCTGCATGACAGCCTCTGTTCTAGAGGAGTAAACTGAGACATGCAGAAACTTGGTGACTCTTCCTAGGGTACCCTGTCACAGCCAGGGCATGGACTTGGGCATTTTTTTTTGTCTGAGCAAGTGTCTCTAGGTAGCATAGTATCCCCTCTCCAGGTGGCAAGAGACAAAGGCAAGGGCTGACTGACCCTGCCTCTGCCCATTGACTGCTTGGTGGATGAGAAGATCACGGGAAGCTGAGGGAGTTCAGGGGATGATATGGAAGGGAGCAAGCAGTACAGGAAAGGAGCCTCAGGAATTCCCAGTTTGAGAAAGCAGGTGGAGCAGGATGAGTGGAGGGTACCAGGCATGATGGAGGTAGGAGAAGCAGGTGGTCACTGGGGTCAGAGACCATCATGCCGTGTCCAGGAGGTGATGCATTCAAGGCGCTGGTTGTGTGCCTGTGTTTCAGTGGTTGGTCTGAATGGGTCTCTGGGATGGGGGGCTTTTGCAGGACCTTTGTGTCTTAGCTGACTGTGGCCAGTGCCGGGTGAGGAAATTACCATGTTCTTGTTTCCCGTGTTTTTGACCCCTATAGAGCAGGGCTGCTTGGTTTCCTGTAGCTTGGCGTCTCTTATCCCATGCCATTCTGAGTGGAAGTCCTCATAGCTCCATAGACTGGAGTTCCTGGGTCATTGAGAGGAGCCAGACACTGTGTCTGGCTAGGGAGGAAAGACCTTTCTTCCATTCTGGAGTTGGGTACAGAACAACAGCCGTCCTCCCAAACCAAATGCATTCCTAAGACTCACGGGTGCTAAGCATCCAATTGGCCTTCCCTTCTGGCCTTTCCAAAAACCACCTACTGGGTGCTAACCTTCTGCATTCAGGATAAGAAAGGGAAGCTGACCCCCAGTGAAAGTGACATTTGGTGAGTTAGGCAGTGGAGCCTCCATAGTAGGATGAAAGGGGCCTTGAGGTCTGGGGGGCAGGCTCTAGTGTTTAGGACCCTCGGCTGACCAGAGGTTCTGAGGAAGCACAGGGCACGTGTATGTGGAGCAGTGAGCAAGGCGACCTGGGAGGGCTGCCTAAGATTGAACAGAGACATCCCCAGGGAGCAGAAGGGAGGCTGCCAGGAACCCTGGTTGCCCAAGCCCAGAGTCCGCAGCACCCTTGAGAGGTGGGAAGGAGGATGTGTGCAGCTGACAGCCTCACCTCAGGTCAGGCTCCGTCTTGCTCTCTCCGGTTCCTCCCCTGCCCATAGCGCTGAAATCTGTCCCAGTGTGGAGCCAGGTCCTCGTGCTGGCTCTGATGGTGTGACTGACCCTCTAAAGGACAGGGTGCACCCTGGGGCACTCTTGCATGTCCTCGGAGCAGAGGGGCTTGCGTGCCAAAGGAAGTTTCTGGACACAGGGTTCTGTCCCTTGCTGAGAATTCAGTCGGCCTTACTGCTTCCCTGCAGATCTGTGGCTGAGCTTTTCTGGTTTTCATTGTGAGGTTCTGTGGCTCTCCTGATCTGATGCACTTTCTTCTCTTAACCTGTTCCTTCTTTTGCTTTATTGGGACTTGGTTACTTACTTCTCTCTAATTGTGACTTTCTAGTTCTGTCCCTAAATTCCTGTGAGGATCTTTTTGGTAGCCATAGCTTCCTGAGACTATGCAGGTCTTTGCGTTGAAGTCTTTGCTGTCTATACCTGGCTCTCCAGATATTTACCCTCTCAATCATCCAGTCATTTCTTCTCTAGCCATCTTTCTCTCCCAGATGGTGCTGACATCACGTGGTAGCTCCTGGAGACCTTCCTAGTGGTAGAGCTGGGGATCCTGAAGGCCAGCAGATACTGGCTGAGCACATGTCACTGGCCAGAGCTCTCATAGCCCAGGACTTCCCTTACGTTGTCCACTTCAGTTTCCAATAGACACTAGCAAGCATCTCACAGCTTATTGGGAAGATTGAGAACGTGTGAAAATGTGAGGTGTTCAGAACGAGCAAGTTAAGTGAATGTAAAGTGTTCCCTCACTCCCCCGTTCAGGAACGCCATTTTCTTCTGGCTTTGCTCCCGTTAGCATCCGTCTTCAAGGGAACAGGGAGAAATAACCATGGTGGCTTAGATGGGCTCTTCTTGGCGTGTGGCTAGTCCTCTAGATGCCATGGTTGAGCTGCTTCTGGCCGAAAGGACACTGACCTGTTTTGATCTCACAGCACAGTCCAGCCTTGAGTGCTCACAGCTGGTGACATCCACTGATTGTTTTTCTTTCGCTGGACCCTGGCCCAGCTGTCCATCTTCTACTGAGTTCCTGGAAGTTGATTTATGGGTCGCTAACACCAGCAGAATCCAACATTATGTGGGAAGGGAATGCGTGTGGTGACTTTAGAGTTGTTTCGACCTAGAATTCTAGGTCTTTCTCTTGTTTGTGACTATGGATAAGCTCCCTTATCTCAATAAGCCTCAGTTTCCTTTTTGAGACAGTTCATTCGTCATAGAGAATTGGTTTCCAGAAAGGGTAGGATAGGGACAGCAGCTAGGTACTGCCACCTCTGTTAACTGAGGGACCTTGGTAAGAGGGTGTGAGCAAAGTCAGGAAGGACCTCCTTCCTGGGTAGCAGGAGGGACCCATTTTAATGGTTTCCTGTCCCTTTGTTGGTGGAGGGTTGGCGTTGGGTAAACACTAACATTTTATGGTGGACAGGTGTGAGAGGCTACAGTAGTGTGCCAGTCACACATAGGCCACGTGAAGTCACAATCTGAGTGAATAACCATCAGGGCTGTGCAGCCTTTGCCGCTTGGTGGGAGCAGTGTTCTGCTCCTGTGGGCCCCTTTCAGGTTTTCTGAGGCTGGCTGGGGAGTTGGGACCCACAGGAAGAAGCAGAGACTGTGTGTGGCCCCATGTAAAAGTAGGCAGCTTGGCTGGGATCTCATCTGGGGGAACAGTAAGGAGGGGACCCCTGTGATGCTGTGTGAGGCCTGCCCCGAACAGCAGATATGAGGCAGCTGTAGTGTGGACCCCTGACTGTTGTTGGTCTTAGTCCAGGCCTAATTGTGAAGAAGGGAGGGGTCTGCCTGGCAGGAGGGAGCTGGAGGGCAGAGGCTGCATTTCCGTTCTAGAAGGTAGCCTGGCCCTGTCTCCCCCGTCCACACCTCTCCCTCCCTCAGGCCCCCTTTGCTTCAGTGTTCCCAGTCCACAGTCTCCTTGTGAACTGCAGAGATTACGTCACTTAATCTTTGAAACAGCCCTGTGGTACGATGAGTATCTTTCTTTTATGCACAGGAACCTTGGCTTGGAGGAATCGTCAGTCTCTGTGACACTCAATTTAGTGTCAAAAAAGTGGCGAACCCGAGGCAGTTTCTCTCCACAGCCCGGGACTGGTTAGGCAGATGGACTGCTGGTAAAGGCAGGGAGAGCCTGCCCTCCACTTGCCCACCCACTGTGGGCTTAGTCCCCCCCCCCCCCGCCCCAGTTCTCTGCCTGGGACTGGAGCTTGGGGTCTCCAAGGACGACCCACTCTCTCTTCTCTCCTCTGCCTCATCTCTCGGTGGACCATTGCTTTGCAGCGCCCGTGGTCTCGTGACTCTTGAGGGCACCGGCCCTCCCATCCACCACCCTGCAACGGCTTTTCATTTGCCGTTGTTCCTCCTGGGGGACAAGCGGGTCTCATGCTCCCTGGAAGTCCATCCTTCTCACCCCTGTGTTCTCATTGCAGAAAAGTTGTACGGCGACTTCTTGAGCTGGAAGCTGGAAGAAGCCCTGTCCCAGTTCCCCCTGCAGCCCGGGAAGGTGGCTACTTTCACCATCAACATCAAGGCAAAGCTGGACTTCTCTTGCCAGGAGAATCTCCTCCAGGACCTGAGTGACGGTGAGCCTGTCCGAATGTCCGTGTTCATATTGCACGCGCGTCCCGTTGCACCTTGTCGCTTGCTCGCCAGCCGTTAGCTCCAGCTGCCTGGACTTGGTTAGCTGTGAGTGACTGTGTGTGTCTGGAAGTAATGAGAGAGCTTTTCACCTAAACAGATTCTTCATCCCCACCTCCCCTCCTGACTCTTCTGTTGTCGTTTGCTGGGATGTAAGAATCCCAGTTTTCAGTGTAACCATAGCCGTCTGTCTCATCAGCTGTGATGAAATGCTCCCTCAGAGCCTGCCGGTTTGTGTAGGAGTCTGGGGCAGTGGGAATTCATCACAGCAGGACAGACTGACTAGGGATGGTGGTTCACAGATTCCTTACGTCAAGTTCTGAAGCCTGGATCCAGATACCGGAGGCCTGTGGGATGTATGAGTCAGCTCAGGGGACTAATGTAAAGACCCTGAGTGACAGGTTAAACACCAGACACTCCCTGTGGATTGAGACCTGAGGTCAGGGTTTGGGGTCCTTTTCCTGGTCCACAGATGGTCATCTTTGGGCTAGAAGATGACCACACATAGTAGACTCAGTCTCTCTCTCTCTCTCTCTCTCTCTCTCTCTCTCTCTCTCTCTCTCTCTCTCTCTCGGCCCTGACCTCATGACATTGTTCACCCACTTGCACCTGCGCACACTGTGTCTTTAGTACAGTTGGTTTGAGTGGTAGGGGCTTCAACATGGGGATTTTGAAAGGCTCCGATACTCAGTCCACAACATGACTGTTACTGGAGACAGCGTGCTTGCTCTATGGCCAGAACTCGGATGACTGCCTGAACTCTCTGCCTTCCTCTCCTGACTCGTGAGTGACCACAACCCCATTTCTAGGGCCGGGAGGATTGGGAAGTGTAAGAGTTCACAGTGTCGGTTGCAGGAATGAGTGGTCAGAACCCTGTGGATGGACTCTAACTTAGATACAGCTTGCTTTATTTGGAAGAGCCCTGTAGGTGAAGACAGAGCAGTGGGCGGTAGCAGGTACAGTGGCCCAGAGCCTAGATCCTTCTCTGTCTCTCTGGAAATGAATGTTTCATCCTTCTGTGCATGTTGTGTATGTGCTTGTGTGTGCACATGTGTGTTCTGCGCACACATACGCAGAGGCCAGAGCAGGACTTCAGGTGTCCCCCCCCCCTTTTTTTTTAAATCATTCTCTGCCTTGTTCTCCTGAGAAGGGATCTCTCACTGAACTTGGACCTAGTCAGCGAGCCCTGGAGTCCACCTGTCTCTGGCCTCCAGTGCTAGAATTATAGCCTTAGTGTGGCACTGGGGATTGGAACTCAGCTCCTCACGCTTACATGCAAGACTCTGACACACCGAACCATCTCCTCAGCCCCGGGATGCTGTTTTGAGGTCAGCCTCTCCAACGTCCCTGCACATGAATAATGCTCTGGTGCTGAATGGGAGCAAGTAGAAGTTAAGTGTTTCCTTCTTCTGTCACGAGAAGTTATCTCCACACCTTGCCCTCTGGGAGCACTCTCCAGCTGCCTGACCTTGGCCCATGACTGCCTGCTGAATCTGCCTCTGCAGGCTCAGCAGCTGCACTGGCTAATCTAGCTGCTCTGCCCCTCAGCTTTGCATGGCCTGCATTGGATCGTGCAGATCTCAGGCCAAGCGTCTCCTTGCTACAAGGCCATTCCATCCACTTAGGCGAAGACAGTCTCCACTCTCCTTTCCTCCCTCCCCACCCTGTCTGTCACTTATCTTCTGTCTGTCTCTTTGCTTTGGAATAGGAACAAAGGCCTTGACTCCCTCAGCCCCGCATCCCAGGGGCTAGGCTGTGAAGGGACCAAGGGTGTATGTGTGGATGACACACGTTATATAAAGGTCTCTTTCCCCTGCCCCCCCCCTTTCTCATTGTGGGGGTCCAGGTTGTGCTCCTGTCTATTTATTCTTGTGAAGATTGTCTCCCCAAAGACATCTTTAAGGAATTGCTGGCGATCCCGAGTCCATGTGCAGAGGATACAGAAACGAGCTGCCATGGGGTTTTGTTGTAACGGTTGCTTTGTGAAATTTTGCCTTGTAACTCTGTCTCAGCTCAGGCCACCTCAACAAAAATACCGCAGACAGCACTTGAACAGTAGACATTGCTCACACAGTCTGGAGGCTGGGGAGTTGACATCAAGGTTCCAGTAGACTTGGTTCCTGAGGAGGGTCCTCTTCTTGGCCTGAAGACAGCTATCTTCTTGATGTGTCTGCGTGTAGTGGAGACGAGAGCTCTGCTGTCTGCCTCATGCCGTGAGGGCACTGCTGCCACCAGGGCCCTGGGTCCCATGCCCTCACGGTAGGCATTAGGGACTTGGGCTGTGAGCGGAGTCCATCACTCCTCCCTGAAGTTTACCCCCCCCCCCCACCATGTTGAGATGCCGTCCCTGAAGTTCTGCGAGAAGACTCTTCTTGATATTAGTGAGGATAGGAGAACAAGTGTTGGATGTGCCAGACATGGAAACAGTCTCGTGAATTTCACATATCGGGACGTGCAAGCATCAGGTATCAGGTGGAGGAAGTGGGTGTCGTAGTTAGAGTTTCTGTTGCTGTGAAGAGACACCATGGCCATGGCCATGACAGCGCTCAGAAGGAAGACATTTAGTTTGGGCTGTCTTACAGTTTCAGAGGTTCAGTTCATTATCATCGTACCGGGAAGCATGGCAGCGTGCGGGCAGATGTGGTGCTGGAGAAGGAGCCGAGAGTTCTGAATCTTGGTCTGCAGCCAAGTAACACCAGGCCTGGCTTGAGCAGCTGAGACCTCAAAGCCCGCCTCCACAGTGACGCACTTCCTCCATCAAGGCCCCACCCATCCAACAAGGCCACACCTCCTAAATAGTGCCACTCCCTTTGGGCCAAGCATTCACACACTTGAGTCTGTGGGGGCCACACCTCTTCAAACCACCACAGTGGGGAAGGGGAGGACCAGTTTTGGGCTGGGGATGTAGCTCAGTGCAGAGTAGCTTGTCCAGAAGGCATAGAGCCGTGGGCTTGATTCCTAGAACCACTACCTAAACCAAATCTGACAGATTTTCTTTCTCTTTTGTCTGTTTGTAACCTGCCTCACGCTGTAGAGTTTTTCAGTCTTAGACAGAGGGTTACTAGCCCGACTTTTCCCCCCCAGGGAGGGAATTTGGCAGAGTGAACGTCATCCACTCCCGAGACTCCATTCAGAGGTCTGTTGCTGTAATGCTTCCTCAGATTGGTGACCCCTGGGACATGGCCAGGCAAATGTCTTCTTCCTGAGATTTGCATGTGAGACCCAAAGTAAGGCCCTGGGGCGGCCCTCTGCTGCTGACTACTGGTGTCAAGCTGTCCCTGAGGAGTACAGAGGCCTCTTGGTGGAAATTTTGGCTCCTTGCCTCTGGCAGGTTTCCTGAGGTTACTGTTCTGCAGACCCATTTGTTGAGATGCTGAATTCCTGCCTTTGTTTACAGTAGGGTGAGGCAGTTTGGGATTTATCATCTGGGAAAACTGCTTCAATCTTGTAAAATCGAATTAAATCAGCACTAGAATTATGGTTTCCAAGGGGTTTGCAAATGTAGGCTGACTTACTACCTGGTCAGTTAGATTAATAACCAGTTCAGTAGCAACCTGGTTATTAATGATACCGGTCAGGGGCTGCTTGGACTGTTCACACAGCCGTCACAGAACAAGGCACTTCTGAGAGGCTTCCCAGATAGCATTCAGTCCTCCTTTGGAGACAGCTGCAAGTTCAGTGGCAGGAACTTATTTGTTGTCCCCGGGAGCTGGTAGAGGAACCCCTGTGGCTCCTAACTGGACAGTCTCAGAAACATGGAACTGGACTCAGTTTCTTTTTCAGGCATGAGCTCACATTAGCTACGGCTACTGAATTTAGATGCAGCTTTTTGAGCCTGCAGCAGTAAATATAGATGTTGCACAGTTGGAATACTGGCTTTAGTGTGGGCTGCAGACAGATGGACGAGGCACAATAGGTATTGAGCACGATCAGATCCGTGTGTAAAGGCAGGGCTTCCCCCTTTGTTATCGTTTATCTATCTGGGGGGCTGCTGGGCATTGAACGTAGGGCCTTGTGTGTGTTAGATAAGAGCTACTTTATTGTGCTATATCGCTAGCCTTTGAAAAAACTTTCCTTTAAAAATTTTGAGACAGGGTCTCACTAAGTTGCCTAGGCAGGCCTCCTTGAATTTGTGATTCTCTTGCCTCAGCTACCTCAGTTATTGGTGTTATAGGCCTGTGCCACCATATCTGTTCCCGTTTAAAATTTCCAACAATTCCCAAAGTAAGCTTTACTCTAATTCCTGATTTTTGTAAAAGATAATGGGAAAACTGGAGTCAGAGGAGGTTGAATAAATACAGCAGTTAAAGGCTTTGTTTAATCTTTACTCACAGCCTGGTTCTGAGACAGAGGGAAAGGGAATGTATGCCCGGATTAGGTAATGCTGTTGTGTCAATGACAGGCACATAGAAAGTGATAATGAAACCACAGCAGAAGGAACTGCTTCCTAGGAAGGACATTCAGAACTACTAAAGGGAGAGAGATGATTATGCTTATACTTTCTTTGATATGGTTCAGGGCAGAAAAGATGGTGTGAATATGAATATAGAAAATAAACATCAAATTATTGAAAACTAGTGCTTTCGCTGAAAGATCTATGGGTCTTCATTTCTATTCTTGTAGCTTTTCTCTAGGTTTGATATTTTTCAAAACAAAAAAATATAAGGAGGAAAAGTTGCTGCCGTGGAGTACTGCTTTGATCTGTTATGTTTTGATTTTGAAAGTGAATTTTCGGAGCCAGTGGTTTTCTCAGTCTGTGGATTGTGGGGCAGCATTTATCTCCCTCCAGGGTAGGAGAAGTCAACCTTCCAACCAGCAAGTGCTTTACAACCACCAGAAATTTCTGATTTCTTGGAATGTTGTGTTTGTGATGAGAAATCTTGGAAGATGGCGAAAAGCTGTCTTCGATGTTGTGCGTCCTTAGGTTGCCTAATAAAGGAGACCAAACAAACACAGGAGGACCAAATACCCCTTGGAAAAATATGTAGCAAAAGCAAACATCAGGGTCCCCTGGAGACTCTAAAATATGAGCAACTGCAGAAAGGCCACTGACAGCTGGGAGGCCTTCCCATCACACAAGAGGAAACAGGAAGTTGGTAGCTGGTGGTGACAGACCAGCGACCCCTGAATAGCTTGAGGCCACTCATTTGGTCAGATCCAGACTAGCAACTGGAACATACACATACAGGAGGGTTCTTGTATGTTCCAGGAGCATATGAGTGGAAAGTTCTAGAATGAGAATGAGGGCTCGACCGAGTAGAAGCTGTAGGAATCGATGTGGGGTAGCATAGTGAAGGGACAAGAAGACAGAGCTGTGTATGAGTAGGCATGATGCCCCTCAGTGCAGAGTGTGAGCTCCGATGACCAGAACACCATGGAACATAGAAAAAGGTATGTGTGTTTATCCGAGTCAGGGCAGCTGGGAGCCATCTCTCCTCGTGGTCCCTGTCAACCAGCTCAGGAAAGGTGGCCAATGGGAAGGTTCAAAGTCAAGTCCTATGTAACATTACAGTGGAAACCCAGGGAGCAGTATGTCTTGCAGCATGCTGGGGTGCACGCTGAAGATATGTAAAGTCCTTTCAAGTAAGCTAAAAGACCCCAAGAAACAATTCAAGTTGTAAAGAAACGTAATTCCAAGTTAAAAAAAAAAATTCCCAGCATTGGGATAGAGAGGACTTAGGAGAGAGTTCAAAACTCAAGCAGAGCTTTTGGTCTTGGGCGAGTGTTGGGGACACAGAAGATGAAGATGAGGACAACTGAGAGAGAATGAGAAGGGGAAATGGTGGGAGAGTGACATCTTTAGATGACACAGAAGACCTTGCACAGATGCACATGCATCACATATGCATGCATCCTCGCCTCATGCATGCATCCTCGCCTCATGCATGCGTCTTCACCTCATGCATGCATCCTCACCTCATACATGCGTCTTCACCTTATGCATGCATCTTCACCTCATGCATGCATCCTCACCTCATGCATGCATCCTCACCTCATACATGCATCTTCACCTCATGCATGCATCTTCACCTCGTGCATGTATCTTCACCTCGTGCATGCATCTTCACCTCATGCATACATCTTCACCTCATGCATGCATCCTCTTGGATCACCTGCCATGAGACACCAGAGCAGAAGGCCATAGCCTATAAACCAGAATTCTAGAAAACTTCCTAAAGTGAAAGTAAATCCTTGAGATTTTTATTGAACAGCACACTGGGTGTATGAGAGTACTGACCCAGGGAGCCTGAGACATCTAATACAATTACTAGACTTCAGGCCAAAATGCTAAGTGATTTATGAAATAACGGAGATCTGATTATCACTGGACTCTTTTGACAGGGGCAGTATCTGTCCAGATCCAACAGAATAGTATGTTTTTCACACAATGAAACCGGAAGCCAGGATTCTCAGGTCCAGAGCCTCCAGTTTCAACAATAAGGAGTATGGATTAATTGTCAGGATGCAGAAATGCAAGCATTATGCTCTCAATGTTTGCTTCTTGAAGATTCTGTGATAGAGGGCTGACTGGAAAGACAGCTAAAGAGACAGTATCACAAGGATTGTGAGCAACAAGTACCAAAATTCGGGAGGTCCTAGAAGGAATAGTGTACATGTACTGTGTCATGGCCATGCACACACCATGCTGATTTAAAAGGACTGGGGGAGAGGAAATTGTGTGTTCAAGTAATTTTTAAACTGATGTCAGTAATTATATTGTTAGGATTAACATTGGTATTAAGAATCCCTAAGTGTATATTATTGTGAAGTAAAGTAAATGATTAACTTTTTGGTATGTTCATGTGTGTAAGGGTATGTGTGTATGTGTGTGTGTGCCTGTGTGTGTGTGTATGTGCCTGTGTACATGTATTTGTGCATATGTGTGTATGCTCATATAGAAGCCAGAGGATAATCTTGGATGTCATATTTCAGGTGCTATCCATCTTTGTTTTGCATTTTATTTTATTGAGAAAGGAACTCACTATGTACCTTTGGCTGGCCTGAAACTTTGTAGACCAGGTTGACTTTGAACTCATAGAGATCTACCTGCCTCTGCCTCCTGAGTGCTGGAATAAAGAGGTGCCCCACCATGCCTGGCTTATCTACCTTTTTTTGAGGTAGAGTCTCTCACTGGCCTGGAATACCGTGGAGACTAGGGTGAACTAGCCAGTGTGCATCCAGCCCTGAGATTACAAACACATACTATCTGAACTAGGTCTCTATTCCTGTGACTAAACACTGACCAACACCAGCTGAGGCTGGAGAGATGGCTCAGCAGTTAAGAGCATTGGCTGATCTTCCAGGGGACTCAGGTTTGATTGCCAGAACCCACGTGGTGCCTCACGACCATTAGTAACTCCAGGTCTAGGGGATCCGATGCTTTCTTCTGACATCTACAGGAACTAGGTAGGCATGTGTTGCATAGACATACAGGCAGGCAAAACACCCATATACATTAAATCACCCCCCCAACCCATAAAATCTTGGGGAGGGAAGAGTTATTTCACCTCACAGAATACACCTCACAGAATCGTCAATGGAAGTTAGAGCAGAAACTCAAGACAGGAACTGAGAGACAGTCACTGAAGCAGAGACCAGGGAGGGATGCTTCTCCTTGGCTTCAGTTTGCTTTCTTATACTTCTCAGGGGTGGGACTGACACAGTGGGCCGAGCCTTCTACGTTAGTCATCAATCAAGAACACGGCCTCCAGGCTTGTGGACAGGCCGACCTGGTGGGGGCAGATCTTCAGTGGAGGTTCCATCTTCCCAGGTGGCTTTAGCTTGTGTTAAGTTGACGAAAAAAACTAACCACACGTTGATTTCACGTTGGGCTTTTTACACGGGTTTTGGGGATTGAAGTCAGATACTCAGACTTGCACAGTTAAGCACTCTACTAACAGAGCCATTTCTCTAGCCTGTGATCGTGTGTGTGTGTGTGTGTGTGTGTGTGTGTGTGTGTGTGTGTGTGTGTGTTGGACATGTTGTGTGGAGCTGCATATGTGTGTCCATGTAGAGGTCTAAGGTTGGTTGATCTTCACTTTATATACACAGATAGGGTTTCTCATTGAACCCGGAGCTCACCGTATTCGCCGTTTGTGTAGCCCACTTGTTCTGGGATTCCCCGTTTCCTCCTTTGTGCTGGGCTCATCTGCAGGCTGCCGTGCCCATGGCTTTCTGGGGATCCAGACTCTGATTCTCAGGCTTTCATAGCAAGTGCTTTATCCACTGAGCCATCTCCTCAGCCCCTCATGACTTTTTTAAACCTCCATCACCAGAATCTGGTCTTGAACTAGTGCAAAACAGGAGGTAACAGATTTAAGGATATGAAATCAAATAACCGTCTTGCAGCCTGGAGTTTGAATTGAGTGTATCAGTAAGAAATTATTAGTTATTAAAAAAAAAAAAACAAGCAAACCATCAGTCAATCTCTTTGTCACTCACCCACCTTCCAGCCCTGTGCTCTGGCCAGCTCAGCAGCAGTGGGCTGTGCCCATGCCCATGGCATGGTGTCGGGCACCCCCACCCCCTTCCTGCTTCTTAGAGAAGTGGCTAGTTCTGAGCCTGGAACAGGAAGTGGATCCAGAAGTTCTGAGAACATCTGGAAACCCAGAGCAAGGGCAGGATCCGAGGGGATTAGCACTGATGTGGTACCAGGGACCATCCCGAGGAGGCCACCTGGCACCCAGGAGCCGGCAGTGTGATCCCTGCGTTTCAGTGAGCATGTTCTACCGCTGCGGGAGGCAGCCACTCACCTTTGGAGAATGACGGGAGCCGAGTTGTTTTTTTTTTGAAGGTGATAATTAGTGATACTTGCTCTCCCTTTCTCCTCTCTCTGTGTCTGGAGACTCTGACAGCTAGTGAGGTGGCTCTCTCCTAGTAGAAATGTCCCAAAGAACCAATGAAGATGGGATGGAAAATTCATCTTTGCAGTTCTAAGGAGATGACTGGGTGGAGGCACTGCCCACATGACAAAATAAGACACAGCCACCCAGAGTGCTCTTCCTGCTGGCAGAACACAGCAGTCCTGTGAGGTAGCCTTGTCCCTAGGTCACACACCTGAGGCTGATGGCTGCTCCAGCTCTGACTCCTGACAGGACCAAGAGGACAGGAACACCATTAAATACACCAATGGGATGTAGCACACAGTCTAGGCTCCTGGAGACCCTGCTGTCAAGTGAAGGGATTTCCTCACGTGTATTGACAGGGGAGAAAAAGATGAAACCATGGACATGGAAGGTAGTGAGGGTGACACTAGGTTGTAAATACTTAACACCACAGAACTGTCCTCTTAAAAACAATTATAGTGAAGGCCTGGCATGGTAGCACACGCCTTTAATCCCAGCATTCGGGAGGCAGAGGCACACAGGTCTCTGAGTTCCGGGCAATTCTGCTCTACACAGTGCATTCCAGGCCAGCCAGGCTAGACAGTGAGACAAATCCTGCCTCCGTACAAGCAAATGAATGAATGATGTACAGGCTCACACCTTGATGAGGTCTGCTTAGTTATGTGTATCTTTTGTCCTCTGTTTAAATCTAAACTTTGTGTCACTACCCCGAAGAGGGATTTGTGTGTGAGGGGGAACACTGGAGCCCTTCTTTCTTGTACCTAATGTGGCCTTATTGCATAATCATCTTTTTCTGCTTTTCACTAAGAAATTGTAAAAAAAGATTAGGATGGTAATATGTTAATGTTTTACACACACACACACACACACACACACACACACATACACACACACACTCCAAGGAGACAAGGATGAAAGGATTTGAAATGAAAGAGACTGAAATGCCAGATCTGATAATGAACAGGTGCAACTACATTATAGTGTCTATGGCTCTGTGCTTAGGGAGTGGGGAGATGAAGACAGACAGACAGACAGACAGACAGACAGACAGACAGATAGGGGTCCACTGCCAGGCACAGCCTGACCTTGGGGAAAGAGGAGGTTATGGTTTCCATAGCTGTGAGGCAAACAAGCCTGTCTGCTGGCTGGCAGGATCTTAACTGTTTTTCTTCAGGTAAGAGAGAGATGATTCTGTTCTTGGTCTTGAGAGTTTGCATCCTTAGAAT